CAGCCGCAGATGTATTTGCTCAGTGTGGTTTCTCCTCTGTTTCAGTAAATAACTTCTGCCTTAGACTGAGTGGGTACAAATAAAACTGTGCTTAATTAGGCTAAAGGACACCATATTTTACCAGCTTCCAGCATCCCTACCAAGCCACGCTACTATGCCTTGGAGTATAGCATACAACAGATGGATCACTGCTGGTAGACTCCAGAAGACCATCCAGCACATTACCTAGCAGAAAAATTCTTCTTTTGTGTGCTATATTCTCAACTGGGAAGTTTTTATAGAAATAGAAGCTTGTTGATCTTTAATATAGTTATGTGCAAACAGTAGAATTCTGCAAATCAGGATTTTGAATTTCTGCAGGATGGGGTTTTGGTTAAGAATATTTTGAATGACCTGGACAGCAAAGGGTCCAGCAATATTAAAGGTATTAGCTGGTTTAGGTCACAAGCTATGTTCAGACTCTGCACAAAGCAGGGAAAGGTAGAAATAGAGGGGGCACAGATGTGTACTCTCTTATTGTGCAAAATTTGGGTAGAGACTTGTATTCTGGGTAGATGCCAAATCAGTCATATTCTGAAAACAAAACACTGATGGGAGAGGAGCCCATACCTTTTTTTAATAGCATCCCCTCAAGAATTTCTAGCACTTTACAGTCAAATATGTAATGGTCCCAATATTACGTGGAATTCAATAACTGTGCTCTACAGCAAAAGGAATTACTTAACCTACCCATGAATGCAGACATCTCTAGGGCAAGGAATAACTAACAGGGCTCACAGCACCACATAACAATGACAGGATTGAGCAGAGGGACTGGCAAGCCCTTCATCTTATTAAAGGAAACAGTGAGACCTCTATTCTCAACAGATGGCAGGTGGGAAAGAGCTTCTCAAGGTCCTATTTGATAGACTGATGCACAGTCACCATGACTGATCTGCTTCTGAAATAAGAAGTGCTGAATTGACCTAGCTATGGATTTAAGCTCTCATTTTAAGGTGCCAGGCATTATGTATCTGATCCCTGATGCCCTGCTGAGTCTCAAGACTGGCAGCACCTGCCCTGTGGCGCTCTGTAGCCTGTTCCCTGGGCTGGGTGAGTGCTCCTGGGCTGGCTCTGAAGTGCAGTCCTAGTGATCTTCTCAGATCCTAAAGCAAGCCTCACATGTCATACCTATGCAGTCACTTGTCTCTGGCTAGCTCTGATGGGTTTCTGCTAAATGCCACCCTTCATTGAGTTGATTTCCATACAGCAAATGAAAGAAGATCCCACGTAATCCAGCTAAGCAAGCCTCTTCCTTCCCATATGACAGGGAGGTTTTTCACACTGCTGAATCTTGCAAGTGAAGTCTTCAGGAAAATGATCAACAGCATGAGACAGGGAAGCTCGCAGAGTGATGGCTGCTTACAGAAGGAGAAGCGGTGTCTGCAGCTGTAGGCTCCGCTGAGTGGCAAATTATGATCTATTGGAGGGAGAAAAGCAATGCAGCCAGGATAACCCAGCTGAGGTTGTTATTTTTTAACAAGTTTCTTTTTCTGTTTATGGTAGCATAGAATAGACTGGAGCCCTGTGGGTGCCAGTCATTAGTGATTGCTCATATCCTTTCCTCTGAGGTGGCCCCAGAGCCCAGGGCAGGCCAGCCTCACTGCATATCTCTCATTCGCAGCTGTTTGGATGAACCTTGGGACAGGCAGCTCTTGAGCTGCTTACACTGCCTGTGGGAGCTGCACGTTAGTCTTACACCTGTTTCTCTGTGTGTACTGTTAGAAAGTCCCTGCCTTATGTGGCATCTTCCTCCCACACTGCTTAACTGACCGGAGATGCTCAGCCTGATCTCCAATCCACAAGTCTCTGGATATGAGGCTATGGGGAGAGAGTGAGACTGTGGCTCTCTCCAACAACATGAAGGAGGCCTTCTGAAAAAAGCCAGCTGCACCCTTGCGCTACCACCCCTACCCCAGGTGGGATGAAATGGGCCCCGCTCCTTTGCGGACTGGTGTGTGAAGGGAGTTTCCTATTTGTACCAGCAAGTGGTTGTGCAGCTGAGAAGAGGGGAATTGCTGTTTCTCACTGCCCTGGTCTGAAAGAAACTCCTTCTATTATGGAAAATCCTTAGCACACAATCCCTGTGGGAGGCAGGAAGCAACAGTGGGTTCAAGCTTCTGCTGACCAGCCTGGTCTATTAAAGAGAAGTTCATGCTGTTTTCCTGCTGGCACTGTTGTGAATTATAGTGCAGACAGACCTGTTGTCCTTCACTGGAGCTTGTGTCTGGGCAACATTTTCAAAGCTGCAGCATTACTGGGAAAAATAGGTCAGAAGTATCATCATGAAAAGAGGGAGGATTCCTCCTCCAGTCTAAGCAGAACACAGAAAGAGGCACTTGTGTAGCTAATAGAGAGTCAGCCTGATGGATAGTATCCTATCCAGGGACTGTGCAGGGCTATGATTATAGAAATAAACAGCAAATTTGGCTTGCTCACTTAGACCACTGCTCCCTACCTCTGTGCACTGCTTAATGCAACAAACCTCAGTCTGAGTTAGAGCAAAGGAAAGTAAGTGTATTGCTGCTGCAGTACAGGTAATTTCTTTTTACTGTAATTACCCTACAGTCCCCTTTTCAAAGCTTCTTTGTCTTTGTCTTGTTTCCCTATAGGAAGAGTGCCAGAACTATGTCCGAGTGCTGATTGTTTATGGCAAGAAAGTTTTTACCTGTGGTACCAATGCCTTTTCACCAGTGTGTTCCAGTCGACAGGTTTGTTTTGCCTCTTTCACAGCTAGAGAGGGCTGGATGCATGCTTTGGGGCAGCATTTGGCAAGGTATCGTGGTTGCAGAGAATACGTTCCAATATGTTTAGCTGATCTAAAATAATTTTGGTTTTCTTCTGTGGGTCCCTTTGGGCTGCTTTGGGGCAGTGGGTGTATCTACAGGTGGGGAGCAAAAAACTTGTGTTATGGGTGAGCAGGATCTGGGCAAGGTGCTACTTATGTAAACCTTGGTATGCTGCTGAAAATGGGCAATATAGAGAAGCTTTGCTGTGAGTACCTCCTGAGCTGAATACGTAAATGTTTCCTTAAAATAAATGGCAAAACTCCCTTTGGCTTCAAGGGAGGCAGGAGCAGGTCCAGAGCACTGTTTATAGTTTTTTAATGCCAGTATGCATTCAGGTGGTGTCTGTGGAGAATTAGAAGCCTGTGCTGGCAGCAGGAGCACCTGATCACACTGAGTGGGTTGGGGCCTACAGATTTTATTGGCTATGGAATTACCCTTCTTACAAAGCAAGGGGATTAGTGAGGCTCAGACTCAACTTCTTATGTTGGCAAACGATGGATGTAAAGATCAATTTACAGTCATCACTGACATTACATTCTTATTACATTGGCAAACGATGGATGTAAAAGATCAATTTACAGTCATCACTGACATAACATTCTCAGAGCTGCCTGCTTTTTTAAAATCAGGGTTTTGCTCGTAGTGCTTATGGATAAACAGAATTCTCTATATGAGTAAGAAAGCCAGATGCTCTTTAAATTCTCTTCTCTCCTTTTAAATACAGGTAGGAAATCTTAGCAAAATCATTGACAGAATTAATGGAGTGGCTCGGTGCCCGTATGACCCTCGGCATAATTCGACAGCTGTGATTACATCACGAGGAGAACTCTATGCTGCAACTGTAATTGATTTCTCTGGTCGGGATCCTGCTATTTACCGCAGTCTTGGAAATGTTCCCCCACTTAGGACAGCACAATACAACTCCAAATGGCTTAATGGTAAAGTCATGTGCATCATATCTAAGCAAGAGGTTTATTAAAGTCAGCTTGACAGGCTTGTAAATCTTTCTCTCTGATTTGATATTGAGATCCAGAGTTACAATGAGGAAGGGTTTCTGGTGCAATAATCAGTGGAGCCCAGAACACATCTAAAAATAGCCTGGAAGTATTTCAGAGAGGTTGATTTAGAATATAGATAGAGTAGGTCTTACAGGCTACTTAACATGTACATGGGTCTCTTGTTTTGTGAGATGACCAAATACATAATTTTAACAAGAAAAATACTCAAAGATTTGAAGATCAAAATTAACTCAAAGCATCACATCATATTGTTGACCTAGTTCTGCACAGTGTTAAGCAGCCTGTAGTCTTCCAGTGCCTCAGCTGAAGATAGTTGGTTTCAGTGCAAAATCAGTCCAAAGATGAGAAATTTCAGAGCACGTTGTGTTCCCTGTGAACCTATGCTGTTGTGGGTTTATAGTTATTAAAATCAGCTGTTACCCCAGTGTGATAATACCCTGCATCAAGCAAGCTATAGAATTTCAACCAGCAATGTCTGCACTGAATTCACACCTTCTGACTGGGGCAAAGCACATCTTGTCTGAGCAGACTGTAGGGATGGAGACCCCAATATCCCCTCTCTGTCCTTTGACCCAGGTAAGTTGACAGGATATTCAGAATCTGTCTACTGGATTTCAGGACCTTTCAATCAAAGATAAGAGCAGTGGGACTGTGTGCTCTCTGCAGCTCAACGAGGCTGAAGTAGGCTTCTGCAGGCATACTGAAGTCAGCATGGAGATCGGAGTTTTAGATGAAGGGCATTGTCAGGCTAGACTGAATTAGGACCAAGAAGCAGCATAACCCATATACACTCATTAGAAATTTGTGCCTCTTGTCTGTGCATGAATGAGGAATTCAGAAGGAATCCACACTGGAACAGGGGAGTAAAAGGAAAGACAAACAGAAATTGAGTTTCTAGTCTGTGACTGGAAAAACTAATGTGACTCTTGGATTTATACCCTTGTGCAGCATTGGTAACATTGGAGTAATTTCATCCTGTTCTGGCCACTTTTCAACAAGAAACAGAAAACTTGAAGATGATTCAGAGAAGAGCCATGCAGTGATTTGAAGCTTGCAAAGCCTGCCTCACAGTGAGAAACTTAAGGAGCTCAAATTATTTATCTTTCTGAAAAGGAGATAAAAGGTGTTTTGCTCATGATGTGGAAGTACTTACCTCAAGAGAAGATTTCTGGCAGGATAAAGTTCTTTAATCTAGCAGACAAGTCATGACAAGAGCCTGTGACTGGAAGCTGAAACCAGATAATGTCAAATGGAAAAAGAAGTACAGGTTGAAGCTGGGGCAGCCTTTAGTCATTTGAACAAGTCACTGAGGAAAGTGATGGATGTAAAGGAATGTGGCATTGTGCAGTTGTATTTAGTTTGAAAGATGTGGTCCAATTCACCTGTTAGTCACAGGATCCGATGGTGGAATTGCAAGGTGAAATTTTCTGGTGTGTGTTAGTAGGTCAGATGGTGATCACAACGGCCCCTTTAAGGTTTACTGTTTGAAGAGGAAAGTTTGATGGGAGATGCTTTGCAGTGCCCTCCCCTCTGTACCATCATCTGCCTCCCAAACCTGCCTTGCAGCAGCACCAGCTTGCCTTCCTCTCCCTCTCCCATGGCTCTGTTCTCCTTTCACTCCTGGGCTGCAGCGTTAAAGGAATTCTGAACTTTCTTTTTTTCTTCTTCCTTTGAACATTTCTCCGAAATGAACATTGAAAAAGTACCCTATAAAACCAACAGGTTTGGTTTTGGTTGGTTGTTTTGTGTGTGTGTGTGTTTAGTCAAATATTATTCATTGGCTGATCTTTTCCTTTTGCCAAAGAAACTGCTGGGATAAAAGACTGTACACTTTAAAGCTTTGTAAAATACCTAATTAAAATATTCACTACAAAACCAATTCCAGGTTCTTTTCAATTCATGTGAAAATAATAACAATAATTCTAGGAGAAAAATAATTAAAGAGAGCTTGTTTTTAATACTGTTGGTCTGTGGCACAGTTTTGTTTTATGGACATAAGATAATCTTTTGTGCCTAGAAGCCGGAAAGGCTTTGTGATAAAAGCCAGATGTGATTTTGCTGGGAGAGCAGGTTGAATGTTTCAGTGAGCAATCTAGGGAATCTAATGGATGTGCACAGCATATTTAACACATCGTAAGGTGCACTTCAGAAGCGAATAGGTGAAGGAACCCAATGGGAAAGCTTAAGCTTTGTGTTGTAAAATGAGTATAGGTATAGAGAATAGTAATGCATATGCAAAGCACTGAACACTGAAATCAGTAACGACTTTGCCAATAAAGCTGGGAAACAATGAAGTCTGTCCAAGATCTGAAGTATGGAACTAGAGCTGTATCACCATACATCATTATTTCCATCTACTGTTTTTATGTCCTCTGCTGACTCCAAGCTCCCTCTGGTCCCAGCTTTGACAGCCTGAATAAAGGGAGCTTGTGGCACAATGCATTGGGCAGGTCAGCGAGCATGGATTGATTTGTGACTGGTATAAATCTTTTCAAATGTTGGGTTTGGTTTTCTTTTTTTCAGAGCCTAACTTTATTGCTGCCTATGACATTGGTTTGTTCACCTACTTCTTCTTCCGTGAGAATGCTGTAGAACATGACTGTGGGAAAACAGTATATTCTCGTGTGGCAAGGGTTTGCAAAAATGATATTGGAGGAAGATTTTTGCTGGAGGACACATGGACAACTTTCATGAAGGCCAGGCTGAACTGCTCCCGTGCTGGAGAAATCCCTTTCTATTACAATGAATTGCAAAGCACCTTCTACCTACCCGAGCAAGATCTGATCTATGGTGTCTTCACTACTAATGTGTAAGTTGCACTTGTTTTACTGCCCTTCTTCTATTCCCAGCAGTCTGAGACTGACAATATCCTGATTTCTTAGATACTCTGAGTAATCATTTTCAAAAGATCCTTTGGTTAACTTGAAGGAATAGATGGGTCTGTGCTATCCATCATGGGAATATAGCCTTTAGAACAATGTTTTTAATCCATGGCTCATAGATTCCTGGAGTCCATAAAAGGTGATTGTGCAGTTCTAGGGTAACTTCATTTGATATAAACCTGGGCTGTGACAGGCTTCTGTTTTTTTGTACTGGCAATGCTGCTTGTGTAGTTCAGAGACATGGTCTAAAAATGACCCAACATAAAAACATAATTACATTTCAGCCAGGCTAACTGTTGGGACAATCTGACACAATAATGTGAACATTGGGACTGGCCATGAGGTGGACAGGTACATATGCTTGAGAGAGAAGGACTGGAGGGAGGAGAATGAGGCAGATGGGATCCCAACAGCCTAGACTGAAATCAGCAAATTGCTGTTGAACAACACTTCACAGTAGCAAGGTCATGTGGGCTACAGCATTTGACATTTCCCAGGGGGACTGTACCTCTGCTATAGATTGTTTCAGGTCCACAAATCAAAAGCAGTGTTAAACTCTGAGAGGAAGGTATGATTTCTGAAACTTCATAATCACATTTTCTTGGCTTGATATTGAAAAAACTTGTAATTGGAATGATTTAGTGTAGCTGTGAAAGCACAAAGGAGGAGTTAATTAAAAAACATATTGAAAAAACTCATATATTTTTTAGTCAGGAAAGCTCAAATAACTTTTTCTCTGAAGCCCAAGGCTAGGATGATAAGTTTCAAGCTATAACTGGTCTGCATGGTATTGAGTTTCAATAATACAAGTTCTCCATGGGGGTGTTACCCCTGAAGTGTAAACTAGCGAATGAAAGTCTGAGCGAGTTACTCCATACGACAAGCACTCTAAGTACCTTCCTTGTGCTGCATAGCCAACTTTTTTTTTTGTTTTTGTGTGCAGTGCAGTACTGTTCAATGTGAATAATAGTCTGTTCCCAAGAAGCCGTCAGCAAACCAAAATGAAGCCCCATTGAAGTACACGGGCCTTCCTGTTTTAATGTGTCACTTGCTGGTGTGACAGGGCTTGAACTTCAGTCCTTGAAGTCACAAAGCATCAGCCCCAACTTCTTGAGCTAAAGCATTGTTGGGAATTTCACTATGAGAGTTAACATAGCCTGAATGTTATTCCCACTCTGTAAACGCTTACCTCCTCTGCCAAGCAGTATGTGTTTGGCCACCCTCATCCATCTTCCATGTTTTGTTTCTGCACTACCATTGCCAGTGTCAGCCAAAAGTGAGTCAGCGGAGAAGCAACTACAAAAAATAAACATGGCTGAGCTGTGCACCTTGACTGTGGACTTTGGGGAAAATCTGTCTTGGGATTGAAAGTAGCATTAATAGTGCTCTAAAAACAGTTAGAGAATGTTAGCCAAATATCCTGAACATTAATAGGGAACCTGGCTACTGCTTTAGGCAGTTGAGATTATACTGGGTTTTGTTTTGGTTTTTATTTTGTTTGTTTGTGAGGTTTTTTTCAATCAAGGAGGACTTCTATGCCCATAGTAATAATGTCTTAACTATCCATTTTTCCATTCATCCAGCCAAGAACAGAAGTTGGAAATGAGAAAATTATTAATAAATTGTATTATTTTTATCAAATCATACAATCAGTTTTTGGACTATGAGTGGGGAGACATAGGCAAGCTCTGATTCTCTTCTGCTGTGTCTGTCTCCCAGGTTTAACATGAGACATGATGAGTGTTACCCATATCCTTTGGGTTACATTTAAGTCACTCTTCATACATTAGGGATGCACATTCTCTCTTGTATCTTCTGAGGACAATATAACATGTAACATTTGTTTAATTGAAGAAATAAGTTATTGATAATAGCTGAAGTTAGATCAAGGAGCATTTTGGGTCTACAACATGATGTTCTTTTGAGAGTTCGAAGAGAAAATGTTCCAATTTGTCATCCGACTGGAGAAATAATGGTAATTATTCTTTTAACTTCCACTGGGACTTATATTCTACTGCATGAGCTCTGCATACCAAGGAGGGTTGCTGTATGCTCCAGTCCGAGTTTCTTTATAATCAAACACCAATGCATTGCAAAACTATGACTTGTTTGTTTGCTTTTTTAAAGGTATTCTTATTTTGGAAAATTAATTAATGTATTTAGGGTCATCTTATAACAAGGGGGTATTAGTGGTTATGTTAAAGCCCACATATAGACTTGTTTCATGTTATGTTATACCCAACTGAATCAGTGGGAAAGAGCATTTTGGGGAAGCTGCTGATGAAATATTTAAGATGTTTTTATTAAAAATTTTCTGGGAGGTAGCAAAGACAACGTTAAAATCTCCTTGAACTTAACTTACTCTTTAAACTACCTAGTTAATCACAGGATGTAGGAGGTGGGAATACAGGAGATTGCACCTCTCGCCAGGACAACAGAGGAGCCAGCTGCACAAGTTGATGTCACTGGTTTGAGACTGGGATCCAGCTTTTCATAGTGAGGGATGGGAAATATGCCAGGCCACAGATGGAAAGGAAAACAGGCCACAGATTTAATGGAAAACCTCTTTCCTTTCTCCAGTCTAGCAAAGGGAAAGGGCTAAACTGTGGAGGCCTTAGCATGGCCCTAAAAATATAATTAAAAAAAATTATTTTTGTTAGACTAGTGGGGTTATAGTCTTCCTCCTTCTTTTTTGTTTTCTTTCTCATTCTCCCTTTTTTTTCCCGTAAGTGCCTCAAGGCATTTACTTGTCATCCATCATTAGCTTTGTCTGTGAGCATGCACTGCATCAGCAGTGTTCAGACAAAAGTGGAGAAAGGTTTGCCTCGTGTTCCTTTGACATGTTCAAAGTGAGCTATTCCATCACTCCAGGGATGTAAGGGAGAGGGGCAGGAGCGGAGAATGGGAAGACAAAGCAGGAGGCTCTTCCTGATGTTGTATTGCTTGGAAGAAATATGCTGTGAGAATCTGTTCTTCTGCTTGCCAGCCTGAGGTTGTGGAGCAAGGCTTTTTTTTTTGCTTTTTTTTTTTTTTGCTTTTTTTGTGCAAGAGAGTGTAATTATTGGTTTAGTTTAAAAAATGTGTTCTTTTTAGAGAATTCAAATTGCTTTAATTAGCAGAAAGATACATACAGCAGAGCTTGGGTTATTTAAAAAGGCACCATGACAAGTCAGTCTCTTGTGCTAGCTCTATTTTTAGTTTTATTCTGATATCTTTTCTTCTGAATGTTGTTCTTTTTTTTTTAAAAAAAAAAGAAAGAAACTAAAAGAAGCAGGGGGAAGGGGAGGGCAGGGAGCAGTTTTGAATTTGGGGTTACCACTTAGCACAGGTCCCTGTTTGGACCAGCTTCCTTGAGGTACCCTCACTACCCGGAAAGTGCCCTCCAACCCTCTTGAGGCAAAAGG